TCAGTGGTTCCCAATCTTTTTTTGACCAGGGACCATTTTGATCAGGGGCTATTTTGACCAGGGACCACTTTGACCAGGGACCACTTCACCAGGGACCACTCTCCAACATTAGTACCAAAAGGGTTATGAATCAGTTTTTGGTCAGAGCAGAGGGGTAGCAGGACTTCCCTGGATCTAGACACTAGACTCCTACTGACGCAGGCCAAAATCCCGTTAGCTTTTTTTGCCACCGCATCTTAGCTTGAAAGTAGCAAGAGAGTGACAACTCCGGCCCATCCCCTGTTCAGATATCAGCCAGCAAGCCAATTACTTCAATCAAGAAATAGTTTTCCAAGATCTACAGACACTTGCTGGAACACCTCAGCAAGCGAGAGTCCAAAAGTGGCAGGCTCAAACCCAGAACCTCAACCAAATGAGAGACTCCCCCCTGGGCACACAGAAAACTGGGTGACTTGGAAGGTGCTGAACAGACTGCGCTCTGGCACCACGAGATGCAGAGCCAACCTTCAGAAATGGGGCTACAAAGAGGTGTCCACGACATGCGAGTGTGGAGAAGAGCAAACCATAGACCACTTACTACAATGCAGCCTGAGCCCTGCCCAGGCCCGTAGCCAGGATTTCGTTTCGGGGGGGCTGAATTTTTTTTCAGGGGGGTTTCGGGGGGGCTGAGTTTGGGGGGGGGGCTGAGTCTGAGTGAAAGAGGGTCTACCCTAGCAAACCTTTTGTATCATTACCCCAATACCCCATGCATATGGGATATATTGAGTATGGTGATCAGATCATGATATGAATAAACATAACAGTTTAAATAATGCACCAATAAGGCCTTTTCGCGAACCACCATGAAAATTTCGGGGGGGGGGGCTGAAGCCCCCCCAGCCCCCCCCCCCCCTGCTGCAATGCAACCTGAGCCCTGCCACATGCACAATGGAGGACCTTTTTATAGCAACACCAGAGGCACTCCAAGTGGCCAACTACTTGTCAAAGGACATTTAGTAGAATGCCAAGTTTGCAAACTTTGTGTTTTTTCTTTTTCTTTTAAATACAATACAACTGTTTGGTTCGCTCCCGATACAATAAGTAAATAAAAAATGAATCTTTGCTTGTGTGCTCCTCCTCATGAATAAGGTTTGCCGTCTTGATTACTTGACTACTGCCACACACATCCCAGTTTTCATCTGTAAAATGGAGGAGGATATGAAAACTTGACAATGAGCATCCATATCTGTGGCTTGTTCATATGACAATGCGATTTAGCTGTCCTTCCTAACACATTGGACAGCCAAGAGTGTGTTGCGGGAAGCTGTGTCACTTTTCATCTCTGCTCAGGTCTTTGAAATGTAGCTGGGCAGCCATCAAAAGCACTTTCCATGACTGCTAGGACATACTTTGGTGCCTGGAAGCTCAAATAGTGAAGAAAACAAACATTGATCTACAACCAGTGTCACACTTGGATGATACTTTCCTCTGTGATTTGAATGAGGGCTGCGAAGTATAAGCTTCGGATTTGCAGGAGGCATACCCTTCAGAGGAGTTGAAAACACTTTCAAGAACAATATATAGGTTCAAAACCATTTTGGTTAACTCCTTAATGTACATTCAGCTGTGTATTACTGACAGGAAAAATCAATCACTTTATTTATTTATTTATTTATTTATTTATTTATTTATTTATTTGCAGTATTTATATTCCACCCTTCTCACCCCGTAGGGGACTCAGGACGGATTACAGTGCACATATACATGGCAAACATTCAATGCCATAGACACACAATATAATTTAAGCTTCATGAGGGTATGCTCGAATTCCGGCCACTGGGGGAGTTGTAGTTTCAGGGTCCACCTGTGACACTGAGTCCTTGATGGAGTACTTCCTCATTCTTTGGCCTGCTGCTGGAGATTTTTATGCATCGTAAATTAGTTAAATTAGCCTCCTCGCATAAGCGGTACCTAAATTTCCTACTTGACAGATGCAACTGTCTTTCAGGCTGCAAAGGTCGACAGCAAGCTAGACAAATGGTTGGGAGCTTACTCTGACCCGGGCTGGCTTCAAACTCATGACCTTTTGGTCAGTGGTGATTTAATGCAGCTGACTCCTAGCCAACCATGCCACAACCCGGTCCTACTTCTTTCCCAAGAGTCGGGTATAAAGAAATGCAAGTCACACCATATACAGGTTGGCAATGCCTTCTCTAAAATGTCTTGGATTTTGGATATGTTCAGATTCAGGAATCCCTATAGTTGCATGTACATCATGAGGTATCTTGAAGATGGGAACCAATATAAACATGAATTTCAATTATCTGTTGTTGAAGGCTTTCATGGCCAGAATCACTGGGTTGCTGGGAGTTTTCCGGCGGGCTGTATGGCCATGTTCCAGAAGCATTCTCTCCCGATGTTTCCCCCACATCTATGGCAGGCCTCCTCAGAGGTTATGAGGTCTGTGTATTCTCAGAACTCACAAACTCTGAGGATGCCTGCCATATTGTGGGGAAAATGTCAGGAGAGAATGTTTCTGGAACATGGCCATACAACCCTGAAAATTCACAGCAACCTAATTTCAATTCTGTTTCATATATCCCTTGTACAGATAGCATGAAGGTGATTTTATGCATGGTTTTTGTGCATAAAACAAAGATTGTGTGCCTTTAACCATCAGAAAACAAAAGTGGCACAATCTCAGACAACTTTAGATTTTGGAGAATTTTGGTATCTTAAGGCAGACATGGACAATGTGTATAAGTAAAAGAAAAATACTAAGTTAAAATTAAAATAATAATAAACTGATCTATAAAATTAAATTAATGTTAAACATCAACACAGAATCATAGAATCATAGAATGAAAGAGTTGGAAGAGACCTCATGGGCCATCCTGTCGAACCCCCTGCCAAGAAGCAGGAATGTTTCATTCAAATCACCCCTGACAGATGGCCATCCAGCCTCTGTTCAAAAGCTTTCAAAGAAGGAGCCTCCACCACACTCTGGGGCAGAGAGTTCCACTGCTGAACGGCTCTCACAGTCAGGAAGACATTTCCTACATTTCCCTTTGCAGGTTTTGGGATACAGAAGACCTGAGAGAACGGAGTAGTTCAGATGGGGAAAATAGGTTTCTTCAAACAGGCTGGATACACGCCATCGAGAGCTTTATATGTTGTAAACATTACTTTGAATTGGGACCAATAATGGACTGGCAGCCAATGGAGCTGTTGCTACAAAAGAACCATATGCTCCTTATAACTACCAAATGGAAGCCATCCAATAAAGCTGATATTGTGTTGTCGAAGGCTTTCATGGCTGTAATCACTGGGTTGCTGTGAGTTTTCCAGGCTGTATGGCTATGTTCCCGAAGCATTCTCTCCTAACATTTCGCCCACATCTATGGCAGACATCCTCAGAGCTTGTGAGGTCTGTTGGAAACTAAGCAAGTGGGGCATATATATCTGTGGAATGTCCAGGTTCCCAAGGCAGGATGCAGCTAGGCTTTGAAACTGCAAGGCCATTCAATGAATCAAGGTGCCCAATTGCAACAGTCACACAGCCTCAAAATACGCAAGAGTTCTTTCTCCCACCCTGGACATTCCACAGATACATAAACCCCATTTGCCTAGTTTCCAATATATTTCAAGCCATTGATAGTTGAATCAGTTATTGTGAGTTTTCTGGGCTGTATGGGTTCCAGAAGCATTTTCTCCTGACGTTTCACCTGCATCTATGAGCTTGTGAGGTCTGTTGGAAACTAGGAAAATGGGGTTTAGGTGTCTGTGGAATGTCCAGGGTGGGAGAAAGAACTCTTGTCTGTTTAGCATTTAATGGCCTAGCAGTTTTAAGGTCTGGCTTCTTACTTCCAAGTTTCCAGCAGACCTCACAACCTCTGAGGATGCCTGCTATAGATGTTGGTGGAATGTCAGGAGAGAATGCTTCTGGAATATGGCCATGCAGCCTGGAAAACTCACAGCAATCCAGTGATTCGAGCCATGAAAGCCTTTGACAAGACATTATACTGAAGGACTTTGCAGCCCAGGATCAGAAGGCAGTACACTATAGTGCTTCCTATGGTGTAGCATAGCCCGGAAAACTCAAGCAATCCAAAAATGATATTGTATGGAAAAGGAATACACTGATATGCGGCATCTTGAGAAAGGGATATTGTGTATGAATTTATCTGGAACTTGTGCCGACAAAATGTAATTTTTCTCAAGTAATATTGATTTTTCTTAAACTCTGGCTTCTTAAATCGTTGGTCCCAACCCCAAAGGGAGTCCCCTTAGTTCAATGTTGGGGGTCCTGAAAAATTTGTCAACAGTAGAAGGTTTCTGAATATCACCTTGTGGTTCGTTTAGAGATGTACATGAACCTGTTCTGCAATGCGGAAAATGCTTCATTTCTTCTTCATTAAAATGAAAAACCAGCCTGTTTAGCAAGCCTGTTGAGCCCCCAGTGGCACAGTGGGTTAAACCGCTGAGCTGCTGAACTTGCTGACTGAAAGGTTGGTGGTTCAAATCCATGAAGCAGGGTGAGCTCCCCCTGTTAGGCCCAGCTTCTGCCAACCTAGCAGTTTGAAAACATGTAAATATGAGAAGATCAATAGGTGCTGCTTCTGCGGGAAGGTAACGGTACTCCATGCAGTCATGCTGGCCATATGACCAAAGAGGTGTCTATGGACAATGCCGGCTCTTCTGCTTAGAAATGGAGATGAGCACCCCCCCCCCCCCCCCGGACTAGACTTAATATTAAGGGAAAACCTTTAGCAAGCTTTACAAATGTTGATTTGTTATCACTAAATGTTTGGTTTTTATACTTATTTTAAATAACTGGTTGTGTAAAAATAATAATAATATAATAATAAACTTTATTTATACCCCACCACCATCTCCCGAAAGGTTATTCGGGGCGGCTAACATGAATTTCTTGTGCCAAACAGGGTTGCCAGTGAGAAAGTTTAAGAAGCTCTATCTTAAACATTTTATTTTTCTTTTCCCCTCCTTCTCTTCTGCCTTAGGACTCCCCGATTCTGCCCCCCACACCTCTCCCCCACCCTACAACAACCCTCTCCAGCCACCTCCTCCGCCCCCACAGGATGCCCCCATCCCCGGGTACAGCGACCACCCTCCCACCACTGTGCACTCGGGCACCGCCACGTTGCCCCGGCTTGGTGGGGCTGCAACCTTGCCTCGCCCTCCCCCTACATCAGCCACCCTCCCACGGCCACCCCGCCACCATTCAGCCACCCTACCCCGCCTTCCCCCTGATCCCTACATGCAGGAAACGCAATTCAATGGAGCACCACAGGGATACGTAGTACAGACTCATCCTCCAGTGGGGACCCTACCGATTGGCGGCTACATGCATCCGGGATACCCTGTCCAGCTACAACCCTGCACAGCATACGTACCTGTCTACCCAGTCGGGGCGGTAAGTGTGTACAATGGAAAAATGTCTTCTGATGTTGTGTTATTGTATTGCAATGCAGGTTTGAGTCCCCCTGAACAATGCTGAAAGTGTAGCCCAATTCAAATCTAATGAGAAATCATGATTTCATGCTATGGGATTGAACCAAAATGAACCTAATGTCCCTACAACGTCCTTATGAAGAAGCTAGTTCCCTTACAGTAGGGCCTTCCACTCTTGCAGAAGTGGTGAAAAACCTCCATGAAAATGTAAACCCCCCAAATCTCCACTCAGACCTGTGACTTACTTGAGAGCAATCGCATTTGGCATCTTCCATGAGTTATCTCAATGTATTGCTACTCCAGGCCAGACTTAGATTAAAGCTCACATCTAGATGGGACATGTTTGCCTTAGTTGATGATCTACGCTGGGAGATAGACAGGGGGAGTGTGTCCCTGTTGTTTCTACTGGACCTCTCAGCAGCCTTCGATACCATCAACCATGATATCCTTCTGGGACGCCTTGCCGGAATGGGCCTGGGAGGCACTACAGTGGCTCCAGTACTTTCTGGAGGGTCGCACCCAGAAGGTGTTACTGGGGGACCCCTGTTCAACCCCACAACCATTGTCTTGTGGGGTTCCTCAGGGTTCAATATTGTCTCCCATGTTATTTAACATCTACATGAAACCGCTGGGGGAAATCATCCAGAGTTTTGGGGTGTCACCTGTACGCAGATGACGTCCAACTCTATCATTCCTTCCCACCTGCTACTAAGGAGGCTGTTCAGATCCTGAACCAATGCTTGGCCGCTGTGACTGAATCCAGACAAGACAGAGGTACTCCTGGTCAGTCGTAAGGCCGAACAGGGCATAGGGTTACAGCCTGTGCTGGATGGGGTTACACTCCCCCTGAAGACGCAGGTTCACAGCTTGGGTGTGATCCTGGATTCATCGCTGAGCCTGGAACCCCCTGGTTTCAGTGGTGACTAGGGGAGCATTTGCACAGTTAAAACTTGGGCGCCAGCTGCGCCTGTACCTTGGGAAGTCTGACTTGGCCACGGTAGTCCATGCTCTGGTTACATCCCGTATAGACTACTGCAACGCGCTCTACGTGGGGTTGCCTTTGAAGACTGTCCGGAAGCTTCAAATGGTCCAATGAATGGCAGCCAGATTGCTAACAGGAGCGGCGCACAGGGAGCATACAACTCCTCTGTTGCGCCAGCTTCATTACCTGCCAGTTTGTTACCAGGCACAATTCAAAGTGCTGGCATTAGCCTATAAAGCCCTAAATGGTTCTGGCCCAACTTACATGTCCGAAGGCATCTCCCCTTATGAACCATCTAGGACCTCAAGATCATCTGGGGAGGCCCTGCTCTTGTTACCGCCTTTGTCACAAGTACGTTTGGCGGAGACGAGAGACAGAACCTTCTTGGCGGTGGCCCCTCGGCTGTGGAACGCCCTCCCTATAGATATTAGATCAGCCCCCTCCCTTTTAACATTCCAGAAAAAAGGTCAAGATGTAGATTTTTGAACAAGTGTTTGCAAATGCAGAGTAACTGACATAGGAAAATGGAACAACGACAATGAGACCGGACGTTTTTAACAAGGAGACACTATGAATTTATATTTTATTCATATGTTTAATTTTTATTATATGTTATGTTTTTAATTGTATTTATGATATTGTAAGCATTGATTTTTGCCCTGTTAACCGCCTTGAGTCGCCTACGGGCTGAGAAAGGCGCTATACAAGCACAGTAAATAAATAAATAAATAATAGATGTATCCCAAAACAATAAAACATGGTACATATGTTTATATTGCTCATTCCACTTATATTTATATTTTTATATTTATTCCATTTATATTGCCCAAGGCAGAACACCAAATCCATACAGTCAAATTCAAAGCATAATACATATTGAGTATCCTTTGTCTGAAATGCTTAGGACCAGAAGTGCTTTGGATTCCTAATTTTGTTTTAAGTCCAGAAGGGTTAGCATGGTATAGTGGTTTGAGTGTTGAGCCACAACTCTGGAGAACAGGCTTCGAGTCTCAGCTTGGCCATGGTAACATATTGGGTGACTTTGGGTGTGTCACACTCTCTCAGCCTCAGAAGGAAGCCAAAGCAAATTCTCTCTGGACCCATATGGCCCAGAAAGCTCCATGATAGGATTGCCCTAGGTCAGAAGTGTCTTGAAGGTGCACAACAATGACTAGTCTCAGAAAGAGACCTCCTTCCCCTCCAAACATCAATATACTGTTTTCTTTCTGGTTCAAAGAAGGTCCCTCTCTTAAAATTGGCAGCATGAAAACTGGAGAGGGTTCTTACATGGTAGTTCCTTCAAACTACAGGAAAGGAGATTCCACCTGAACATTAGGAAGAACTTCCTGACTGTGAGAGCTGTTCAGCAGTGGAACTCTCTGCCCTGGAGTGTGGTGGAGGCTCCTTCTTTGGAGGCTTTTAAGCAGAGGCTGGATGACCACCTGTCGGGGGTGCTTTGAATGCGATTTCCCTACTTCTTGGCAGGGGGTTGGACTGGATGGCCCACGAAGTCTCTTCCAACTCTATGATTCTATAATTCTATATGTAAAATTGTATAGAAAGGATATGTTGACAGGTCTAGCTTGTTACCTGATTTATTTAAAAAAATTATCCTGAGTGTCTCCTTACTAAAGTCATTATCCAATTGCATGACAGACAGCACCTGCTGAAATGTCCTTTAGGACGGAAAGTGTTCAGACAGCTCAGGAATGGAGAAACATGCAAAATTACATCTCAAGGAGTTTTGGAAGTATTTTTACTTCGAATTTCCATTTTCTTAGGGGCCTCAAAACATCCTCAAAACAACATTATCTAAAAATACCTTCAAGCTGTCTATAAAGTGCATATGAAACATAAACAAATGTAGTTTTGACTTGGATCTCATCTCCAACATTTCTCAATCTGTGGGTCCCCAGGTGTTTTGGCCTACAACCCCTAGAAATCCCAGCCAGTTTCATAGTTGTTCATATTTCTGGGAGTTGAAGGACAAAACATCTGGGGACCCACAGGTTGAGAACCAGTGTTATAAGATTTTTCCCAAAATCTAGGAAAAAATCCAAAATCCAAAACACTTCTGGTCCCGAGCATTTCAGATAAGGGGTATTCAACCTGTAGAGAGAAATATAAGATGGAGACGCCTCCTCCTGTGACCATGGATTTTCTCTCTCTCCTCATTCCAGCCATATCCTCAGGGCAACCCACCACCACCACCTGCTTTGTCCCCAACACAGGTGACCCCTGGCATTGCGATCCTGGAACCACGGCGCCCGCCACATGACTACCTTCCCATCGCTGTCCTCACCACCATCTGCTGCTTCTGGCCGACGGGCATCATTGCCATCATCAAAGCTGTGCAGGTGAGCAATGCGGAAGAGATGGGTAGGAAAGGAGTGTTAATGATGTGTGATCACTCAGGGGTTGGTTCCCTTTCGGTATTATACAGCATGATGTAGCTTATTATGCACACGATTGGTTAGGGGAGTAACTAGGGTGGGTACGGAGAGTCTGAAATGACCCAAAACACAAAAATGTATAAAAGTCAGACCTCCACATTTGATAGGTTAGGGGCATGGGATTCCTATGAAAGTAAAAAAACTAGAAGAAGGAGGAGGAGGAGGAGGAGGAGGAGACGAAGAAGAAGAAGAAGAAGAAGAAGAAGAAGAAGAAGAAGAAGAAGAAGGGCACAGCTAGCTGATAGCCAGCTGCATTAAATCACTACTGACCAAGAGGTCATGAGTTTGAAGCCAGCCCAGGACAGAGTGAGCTTCTGGCAATTAGTATAGCTTGCTGTCAACCTATGCAGCCTGAAAAACAGTTGCATCCGTCAAGTAGGATATTTAGGTACCGCTTTATGAGGGAGGCTAATTTAACTAATTTACGACACCATAAAACCTTTCAGCAGCGTGCAGAAGAATGAGGAAGTACTCCATCAAAGGACTTGGTGTCACAAATGGACAGTGAAGCAGCAGCTCCCCCTGTGGCGGGAATCGAGCATAACCTCATGAAGCCAGAAAAGCTGGAATGTTAAATTGCCTGCTTGTCTGTCTCTATATGTTGTATATCTAATTGGCATTGAATGTTTGCCATGTATAGGTGCATTGTAATCCGCCCTGAGTCCCCTGTGGGTGAGAAGGGTGGAATATAAATACTGTAAATAAATAAATAAAGGAGGAGGAGGAGAACTTGCCGGTCTGAGTCCCTCTACGGAGGTAGAGAAGATCAGGATACAAAAGTTTTAAATAAATAAAATAAATTTAAATAAATTTCAATACTTCTAACAGAAAACATGTATCTGAGGCTGAACAGGATGGAGACTAATCAAGACATTCAGGGCCCATCCAGACAGTACCTTTATCCCATAATGTTCCGCAGCAAACAGGAGGGTGCTCGGACACCATTCCTTGTAAACCCAGAAGCAATCACTACAATAGACAAAAAACGCGAAATTTCCAGGTGCGGGAATTTCGCAGTTTTGAGCCGAATATCCAGATCTTCGCATGTCTAAATGTCCCTGCAATCAGAAATCACGGGATTTTTTTATGTTGGTTTGTTCCTGGGTTTTAGATACTTGTTTCTGATTGGTCGGTTCCTAAAAAAGAAGGGGACACTTGAGTAGAAAGCAAAAACTTTGTTTGTGCGCCAGGAACTTTATAAAATGTTTGGAGGGAACCGTTTCTCTGGACTTTTGCGGTGATCCGCATAACCAAATCTCCACATATCTGCATCTCGCGGGGTTTTAAAGAATCTGCCGGTTTCTGGCAAAAGTCCCGCTGTGGTCATCTTGGGAACCTCTAAATCTCAGAACAAAGCATCAAGTCTGGACTACAGGGGCAGAAATTACAGGTCCAACAGGTCTGTATGTGGACCTCTCCTGAAGTCCTGGGATTTTTTGCTCCTCACTAAAACCCGTGATTTAGTGCTGTCTGGAAGTGTCCTTAGACGCTTAAAAGCAGAACAACAAATGCTGTTGGAAATAGCAACCTTCTACAAGTCTGCTATACTAGTTATCTCTTATGTGTATAATTCAGATTGCTTACTATATTAAGTGTGTATTGGTATGCAGTTTCCCCTTAACTCAGTGTTTGAGGTTCTGGGAGGGACTGCAGACCACATGCTCAGATCTGGGACTATCCAGGCATGAGACTCCATTTTAGAAGTCAGTGTGTATATTTAATATATTTTAGTATTTTAGAAGTCAGTGTGTGTATTGTCTAACCAATCGCTATATATTTAATATAGTGTTTGGTTAGACAATACGACTTTCAGCTGATAAGCAATGTACCTGTATGCTGAAGTTTGTAAGTATAATAATAATAATAATAATAATAATCATTATTATTATTATTATTATTATTATTATTATTATTATTGTCGAAGGCTTTCATGGCTGGAATCACTGGGTTGTTGTAGGTTTTTTGGGACCTCACAACCTCTGAGGATGCTTGCCATAGATGCAGGTGAAACGTCAGGAGAGAATGCTTCTAGAACATGGCCATATAGCTTGAAAAACCTACAACAACCCAATAATAATAATAATAATAATAATAATAATAATATACTTTATTTATATTCCACTCTATCACCCTGGAGGGACTCGTGTCGGATTAACTATGTAACTATGTTACTTTTAACAAAGACTACTTATTTTGTATCTCGAGAGCATGATTTAAAACCAACTATATTTTCTGTGAGAACAGATTTTTTGGGCAACTGAAATAACACGTTTGAAGATCTGCTATATATTTTGTGCATTGGCATAATCTTTGTTCCTAACAGTTCAAACAGATAATCAGGTATATCAGTCTAACAACTGAGAAACCTAATTTGCCTTGCATGAATACTAGTGGATATATACCACTAAAGAGAAGACTCACTCAAGCGAGTTGTTAGCTCTTCTCAGGAAGATCATACTTCACAAAAAGGTTATGATCGTTCCAAATGGTGTGAATGCCAATTAATCTCCAAAAGGTCACGCTTCCAAAAAGGCTTTGAAGATTCTGGTTTTCCAAAAGGTTACGATCTGAAAGGTCATCCTTTCCCCAAAAAATATTTAGGCGATCCCTCGTTGTCTGAGGATGATGGTCCTGCAAGAGTAGTATCCTGTCCGAGTAGGATAATCCTCCAGGGTGGGTCCGTAGGTGACTGTAGAGTTCTATTCTTGATCTGCATGTTCTCCCGCAGTGAGGGCATTGGTTTCCAGGTGGAAGGCGGTGCCGGTCGGGGTTGGCTTGACGCACCTTCATTTTGGCACGTTTCTCTCTTTCGCCCTCCATTCATGCCTCTTCAAATTCTACAGCACTGCTGGTCACAGCTGACCTCCAGCTGGAGTGCTCAAGGGCCAGGGTCCCAAAAATACTACTCATGCAAAGGTGGTATAAACCCAAACCCAGCCAAATTATTTTGTCACAAAGCAGAAAGACATAAACATGCCTCGACCCATCCTTTTCAGCAAAAACACAACTGTGTTAATTAAATAGCGAACACCATACTGCTGTTTGCAAAATGCACTGCTTGATGCAACCGCTTCATTCTGCTTGCTAGTTGGGCAATGGATCTGAGATAGTAGCCATCTGGCTCCTTTGCTGCCAAGTGTCGATTTGCCAGTTCGGTCCTTAGAAACCCTTGCCACCTACCGAATAATACGCTGCCTTTCTTCTCAACAGAAAAGTTGAGGATGTAAAGAATACACAAAGGAAAAAAGAGACGATTTGAACTTCTTGGAAACATATGTTGAATACGTTCTCTGTTCATGTCTGGCGGGCGCCCCTCGCCTCCCACACAGGCACACATTTTGTGCTCTAGAGTCAATTGCTTTATTTCTTTGTTCTGAAAATAATCCAGGTCTTTGAGGAGGCTGGCAGCCATTTTGTCAAGCTGGGAGAGAAATCAGGACTCCGGCGAAGGCGCCGAGTGTGTTTTTGCCTCTTTTATACTTGCATTGTATTGTCGAAGGCTTTTATGGCTGGAATCATTGGATTGTTGTGTGTTTTCCGGGCTGTATGGCCATCTTCCAGAAGCATTCTCTCCTGGCGTTTCATCTGCATCCATGGCAGGCATCCTCAGAGGTTGTGCAGTCCTCACATCCTCTGAGGATGCCTCTCATAGATGTAGGTGAAACATGCCAGGGATGCTAGCTGAGGCTGGGAGTTTTGGCAACAGTTACATGTTTAGGTTTCTGTGCAGGAGCTTGCCTAGACAAGTTTTCTGCTTCTGAGCTGCTGGAAGGTGATCCTTCACATGGACACTCAAGGACCACATTGTGTGAGCCAATACAACTGTTCACATGACTGTATATATTTTGCTCTGCATAACAAAGAGTAAACAACTCATTCTTTACTGAACATCTGTGTTTCATATATTTTCTCTAGCAAGACAGTGTGTGGATTGGTAAAGACATGAACTACGTGTAATTTTCATTCCGCCACACTTTTCCTGCATGGCAGGGAGTTGGACTAGATGGCCCATGTGGTCTCTTCCAACTCTATAATTCTGTGATTATAACCCTGCTATGTTCGGCACACCATATCCTCTGACATGTCTGCCTCTCTTGACCTCAGGTCCGGACTGCCGTCGCCCGTGGTGACATCGTATCTGCCGAAATAGCCTCGCGAGAGGCCCGCAACTTCTCCTTCATCAGCCTAGCGGTGGGCATTGCCGCCATGGTGCTGTGCACCATCCTGACCGTGGTGATCATCATCGCCGCCCAGCATCACGACAACGATTGGGACCCCTAGCAGCCGACCCTTGCCGCCGTCCTGCTCCGGCCCCCCATCAGCTGGCGTCGACAGCCCTGAGAAACCCTGGCCACCATCGCTCCCAAGGATGGTCCTTGGCAACCGTACTCCCCAGCGGTCCTTAGCAACTGTCTCCTCTTCCCTGCCAACGGCACTCGAAAAGCTTGGCAACTATCTCCCCGTCGGCCCCGTTAGTGGTACTTCCTCAGCGAACGGCTTCCAGACGTCGAAGATGAGATGGAAAGCTGACATTGCTCCATCTCTGAATCTCCAGCTTCCTAGCAACATGTTCTTCCCACCATCAGTTCCTTGCAAGGATCCTTTAGGGGTCCCTCGCCCTACACATTCCTTCCTTCCAGAATTGGAGGCTCCATCTCCTGTGCCCATGTCTGTTCCTGCTGCATTTGCATGTCCAAAGTCTTGGTTTAAGATCTGCCTTTTCTCCATCCAGGATTGCTTGGCTGGACATTTCAGAGGGCCCTGCCTCTCACAATCTGGCACAGCCTCTGAAAAAGTTATTTCTCTCTTTCAGCATTTTGCCCCTTCCTGATTTGGGACTTTGCTTCAACGGTGGGTGGGGTGACCCAATATTTAAAGAAAGGGGTTGATTCTCTCTGCCTCCCTGTTTTTGTTTTCTTTGTTTTGTTTTTCTACTCCAATTCTTCCTGCGGCCTAACTATATAATAAGATCTTGCTATATGCTTTTGGCTCTTGTTTCAGGTGTGAAAGGCACAATTGCTTCCGAAATCCACCGAGTCTTTGACCTTTTTTTACATAGTTAAGGTCACAGTTCAGTTAATATAACCACATTTATTTATCGTATCAGGAGCGGGCCAAGGGTACAGTTGTAATGTATTTAAAAAACACAGAGTTTAACAGACTTGGCATTCTATTAAATGTCCTTTGACCAGTAGCTGGCCACTCAGAGTGCCTCTGGTTTTGCTATAAGAAGATCCGCCATTGTGCATGTGGTAGGGCTCAGGTTGAATTGTAAGAGGTGGTCTGTGGTTTGCTCTTCTCCATACTCGTGTGTCGTGGACTCCACTTTGTGGCCCCTTTTCTTAAGGTTGGCTCTGCATCTCATGGTGCCAGAGCGCAGTCTGTTCAGCGACTTCCAAGTTGCCCACTCTTCTGTGTGCCCAGGAGGGCATTTCACATCTGGTGTCAGTCACTGAGTGAGGTTCCAGGATTTAGCCTGCCACTTTTGGACTCTCACTTGCTGAGGTGTTCCTGCAAGTATCTCTGTAGATCTTAGAAAACTATGTCTTGATTTAAGACGTTGCCGTGTTGGCTGATATCCAAACAGAGGATGGGCTGGAGATGTCACTGCCTTGGCCCTTTTATTATTGGCTGCTACTTCCCGACGGATGTCAGGTGGTGCAATACTGGCTAAACAGTGTAATTTTTCCAGTGGTGCAGGGTGTAGACATCCTGTGATAATGCGGCATTAAGAACAACATCCACTATTTTAGTGTGGTGATATGTGTTCCACCCTGGGCATGCATTCTCATATAACCACATGAACCTAAGGCATATAAATACTTCCGCCACCTATTCCAAGATGCTCTTTTTAGCCTTAACGCCTCTCTGCTTTTCAGTTTCTTAGAAAACACTCCGTTTCCTTTCTTACACACTTCATTACACACCCGTATGTTCTTCCACTGAGCACTTTCCCTTTTGTTGTGTGGGGAAAATGAACATTATTTAAATCCTTATGCGTTCCCATCCTGCTCTAAATGCTTCAGGTAGATTATGATATACAGTCAGCTCTCCATATCCACTGTAGAAATAACTACCCAAAAAGCAACTCTTGAATTTGTCATTTTATAATATAAGGGGCACCATTTTCCTACGTTATTGTACATAATGGGATTTGACTGTCCAGATTTTAGTATCCAATAGGAAAACACACACTATTGGATAAGATACGAAGCACCCAGGGGACCTATATGCCGTTCTGACAGTAATCTGAGGAGATAAGTTTGTAAGGGTTGCAACAAAGAATAGCTTTAAATGTTGACTTAGATATTGATGTTTATTTATATACTACCTTGGTTACCAAGTGTTGCCTGGGTTATTAGAAGAAATCGTTTTTGTAATTGTACAAAATGCTTAAGGCTGTGGGTGAACTACAACTCACACCATGCCAGATTAGCTCCCTGAAACTCCATCAATACTTACTAAAGTTTGTCATGTTGGGCGAGTTCGCTCTAGATGCAGCATCGGTGGAGTTCAGTATGCTCTCCAGCTCTAGGGTGAATGACAACTCCCACCATGGTGGACCAGTCCCTGCTCTTTGACTGCAGGTGAACTATTAATCCCAGTACCTACAACTAACAAATGTCAAGGCCAATTCCATCCCAAACCCACCAGTATTCAAATTTTGGAATATCGAGTAGGTGTACCAAATTTGGTGCAGATCCATCATTGTCTGCATTCACAGTGCTCTCTGGATGTAGGTGAATTATAATTCCTATAAATCAAGATGAACTTCCCCCAAAGCCCTCCTGTATTTTTTGTTGGTGGTGGGGGTTCTGTCTGCCAAGTTAGTTCCAGGGCCATTTTTGGTGCTGTCCAGAGTGCTCTTTGATTGCAGGTGAACTATAAACCCCAGTACCTACAATGGCTATAAAGCAAGGTGAATTCCCCTCAAGCTTCTCCAGTATTTTTCATTGGTCATGGGGGTTCTGTGTACCAATTCTGGTCCAGGTCCATTGTCAGTAGGGGTCACAGTGGTCTGACTTGAACTAGAACTTCCATCATATGGAGTCAATCCCCCAAACTCCTCCAGTGTGTTTAGTTGCTGATTAGTTGTGCTCTGTTTGTTGTGCAGACAAGGTTGAAAAGTGTAGGAAAGGGTTAAGGGAGAGGTAGTGGATGGGAGCATGCAAATTCCACACCAATGGAGAGAGTAAGGAACACTGGGATGTCTGTCAGCTCACTGTAACCTGTAATGTTATTGGAGAAAGGGCTTTTCGTGCCTCCTCAGCACTGTGAGTTAAAGGTGTTAGTGGAAAGGGGAACCTCTCTGTGGAAGTGGGCTTCTCAGCCACACATACACATAACATATTTTCACTTTGATTAGATAGATAGATAGATAGATAGATAGATAGATAGATAGATAGATAGATGGGATAGATATATTTTCTCTGCTGCCACAGTTGACGCTCCTTGGACACAAAGCCAATATAACAATGCACTCCAAGGATGTTTTTAAAGGAGAAAATGGGTGGGAAAGGGAAACTTATCTGAAGGAGACCCAACCACAAGTCCTCTGAAAGAAGCTAAAGCGATTTTTAAGGAGATGGAAATGGGAAATGGCACAAAAATTTTGTGAGAAAGAAAATGGACAAACATGGCATGGTGGCCTTTGCAATGAAATATGTGATTGACCATTGATTCACGGTGTGATGTTTGCAATTAGTGAGTACTATCTGATCAAAGAGAGAATCAAGGGTGAGGTTGGAGGCCAGATTTAGGTTTGTTTTACAGTGATTTGTACAGCTTATTAAGATCTGGTCTGGACACAATGGCAGGGTAGACAGCTCCTCTGAAGACCACATGCAAGGGACCCACATTTCACTGCTTCTGCATCCTAAACAGACCTTGCAAAGAGAGGCAGGATTGTGTATGAAATAGAGACGCAAACAAGGGTTCAAAGGCCCACACCACTACGAAGTTCGAGGTTATATTTTAATCCAGCCTACCTCACAGGATTGTTGTGTGGGGTTAAGCAAAGGGGCTCTTTGGAGGAAAGCTGAGATAAAACTGTAATAAATAGAAAGCAGCTAGAAAGCAGTGTTTCTCAACCTGGGAGTTGAGACCCATGGTGGGGGGCTTGTGAGGGGTGTCAGAGGGGTCGCCAAAGACCATCAGAAAATACAGTATTTTCTTTTGGTCATGGGGTTTCTGTGTGGGAAGTTTGGCCTAATTCTGCTGTTGGTGCGATTCAGAATGCTCTTTGATTGTAGGTGAACTATAAATCCCAGTAAATACAACTCCCAAATGTCAAGGTCTATTTTCCCCAAGCTCCACCAGTGCTCACATTAGAGCATATTGAGTATTCATGCCAAGCTTTGTCCAGATCCATCATTGTTTGAGTCCATGGTGCTCTTTGGATGTGGGTGAACTACAACTCCAAAACTCAAGGCCAATGCCGACCAAACGCTACCAGTATTTTCTGTTGGTCATGGGAGTTCTGTGTAGCAAATTTGGTTCAATTCAATCATTGGTGGAGTTCAGAATGCTATTTGATTGTAGGTTAACTATAAATCCGAGCAACGACAACTCCCAATGACAAAATCAAATTGTATTCAAATTTGGACGCATTTATTTATTTATTTATTTCAGATATTTGAACCCCACCCTTCTCAACCCCCTGGGGGGGGGGGGGTCCTCAGAGTGGCTTCCAGCCAGCAAAAATTCGATGCCTCCAATGTACACATAAAAAAATCCAATAATTACATATATTTAAAATATTAAATCACATTAATTAATTAATTAAGTAATTAATCAGGTATTTGTGCCAAATTTGGTCCAGTCAGTAAAAATACGTCTTGTATATCGGATATTTACATTACGATTCAGAACAGTAGCAAAATTACAGATATGGAAGTAGCAATGAAAATAATGTTATGTTTGGGGGTTACCACAACAGGAGGAACTGTATTAAGGAGTTGTGGCATTGGGAAGGTTGAGAAACACTGAGCTAGAGGAAGTACAGAGATAATAGGCAGCCTTTCGGCTAGGATTTTAAACTGGCAATTCTTGCTTTAAAACTGAAAAGCTACAGTCCATTCTTCTACTCTTTTAGTTGCAGAGATCGTCTATTGTATCACGGCATGTAATGCAGCAGAATTCGGTTCTGTACCACCTCCAGAATAAGCATATTATTCAGCATTCCCTAAATACAGAGGTGCTTATATAAAGTAAGCTAGCAAGGAAAGGATGATATTAAACATTTCTTCCTGGGATGCAAGCTTAGTATATACAGGGAATGTGTCTACTCTGCTTTGTAGAGAAAATGCAGAAATGTGACCTCATTCCACCTGGAGTCACATAGTCCAGAATGTTATGAATGAAAACACATCCAAGGTGAGACAAGGGCACATAAGTGAGTGAGCATTTCAATCTGTGCCACTCAAAAGCAGAGCTCCACAAACTGCAGTGAGTTTCCAGGAAAGCCAAAAAAACAGTTTTGGTCCATGGGCACAAACATGGAGTTGGTCCTTCACCCTCTGGGAATCAAACCCTTCTGGTCTTCCAAAGACAGCTTCCCATGCGCTGGTTCAGATCACAAACTGGGAGGCACAAGGGGGAATGAAAGGGAAGGGAGGATGCAAAAAAATGGGGCTGATCTACTTTTCGTTTCCAGTGCCTGCCCTTTCCCCAAAGTGTGCCAAACCCACCATTCTGTCACATGAACAATCCATTCCTCCCTTCCCTCTTTTTTCTCAGATGTTGGACTCCGTGATTATATTATACTACTGTTTGCAAGTGACATGATTACAGAATATAACTTAATAAAGACACTTGGATTATCAAGATGGCTGTTGAATTTGTTTGGGATGCCTCTTAAGAGGAGGGGAGGTGTTTCCTTATAGGGCAGGAGTGTCCAACTCATTGTCATCGAGGGCCAAATTCACCTTATGATTGACTCCAAAGGGTCATTGGATTCCTAGATGAAGAATCAATTGATACAGAGAGCCAACTATAATTGTTTACATAGTGGACGGTGCTCTTTAGTTTTTAGTTTGGGTCCCAGTATGGTATTGAATGACAATTCTCTTCACTTTTGATTTTCCTCCATAAGTATTGGGGATGATGGGAATGGCAGCCCAACAGCTCTTGTGGCTCTGAGGTTGGGGAAAGGTTAAAGGGGATTTTAAAGCCAGACATTGTATCCACAAGCCTTGTTACTAAATTCAAATCCCGCTCTCCTGACTAAACAAACTGCAGCTTTCCGGATGATACTTCATAATTCCCATCGGCTCTAGCTTCCCACCGGAGTGGAAATAATCTATCAGACAGATGGTAAGCTATTTGAATCCCAAAACCAAGGTCATAACAACACCTGTTATAGAACTCCAATATGTTGATGATAACATAGTCTGTGCACATTCAGAAGAAGAC